GAGAGAGAGAGAGAGAAATGAGATGGGACACTACAAATATGTGTGTCTGTATGTTGTGAAATGAAAGCATAATCAATGCACATGCATGCTCTCGCTCTCTTTCTCACACAGACACACATAGAGCATGTGTGTTGAAACTGGCAAAGAGGATGTGAAAAGAGGGAGAGAGGAATTTTGTGTGTGAGAGACAGCAAGTGCATGGGTGCGAGTGCGAGTGCTTAAAAAAAATAAATGTTAAAAGATAGTTGCATGCCTGACGCCAGACGTGTACAGGGATATAAATCGCCGGGTTCTGGGAAGGATCGCTCTGTGAGGGGGTCGCTCTGTGTCCCCAGGATGCTTTGGGGGAGGAAGCCATGTTGCTTTACATGTATGGTACACAGAGCCTCAGTCGCTAAACCTAACCTACTTCAAGGGCAGGCTGTGTGCGTGGGAGAACCATGCATGCCAACTTGAAGTGCTTGGGAGGATAAATAACTAACTAGAGGGGAGCAAGGGAGAAACACCATATAGTGATTAAAAAACAACAACACATGGAGATTGTGAATACATGTAGACACTGATTTCTTTCCATACATCCAGTGGCGTAGCGCCACCGACGCCTGGCCGGGCACAGGCAGCCTCCACACCCCGACGCCGACGCCATCCCCTCGGCCCAGCCACAGGCGGCGGCTGCTTCTGCCGACTGGGAGGGAGGAGAGCTCCGAGGGGCCTCGCCGCGCCCTGCGCTCCCCAAAACCCTCCGAGAGGAAGCCGGCGGGCGGGCGAGGGTCTCCCAGCGGAAGGGGGCGCCGCTGGCTCCGGCTCTCAGCACAAGTCTCAGCCACAGGGGTGGGGGGAGGACGGAGCACAGCTGGAAGCCCCCGGACCGGCCGGGAGGAGGAGAGGCGCTCGCCAAGCCCGGATCTGGAGCTCCACCTACAGCCCAAGGAGAGGAGGGGGCGGGGAGGCGCCCGAGGGGAGGGGGCTTCGGCTGCTTCGGCCCGCGGGGGCTCCGCAAATAATAAATTTAATAAATTCATGCTGAGCCTTTGGGGGGGGGTCCTTGGCTCCTTCGCTCGCCCCCAGCCCCAGTGGCGTAGCATGGGGGTGCAGGGGGACCCGGGCGCAACATCTGGGGGGCGCACGCTCGCACTCGAGTGCTAAAATCCACGGGTTAGGGGGCGCAAATTACTTGCCTTGCCCCGGGTGCTGACAACCCACGCTACGCCACTGCTTGGAGGTTCCCCGGCAAGGGGGAGGGGAAAAAAATTGAAACTTACACTTTCGTGCGTCCCTCCCGGCGTGACGCTGCGCGCTGACGTCACGGGGCTGTAATGGTGGTGTGCCTCGAGATTTTTTTCATCAAACAAGTGTGCCTTTGCCCAAAAAAGGTTGGGAAACACTGCAATAAGGATTCTCACTCCCATAGACAGCAAGTCTCCACTTAAAGCAACAAGAACGCATTCCTCATAAATCCTTTGGCCCTTTTGGTCTTCCCACAATGCTTTGCTTCTTACTTGACCAAAGTTTTGTCTATTGAAATTTCCTAACTTCACTACACCTGACCACTGGTCCTGCTCGCTAGGGATCATGGGAGCTGTAGGCCAAAAACATCTGGAGGGCCGAGTTTGAGGAAGCCTGCTTTACAGCCACATGGCATTTTCACAACCAAGGTGCAGAATTCTGACCACCAGGATAGGGTGCAGCAGGAATGCTCCTGCTCATCACCTCAGTGGGGTCTCAGTGGTGACGGTTTCCACTTGAGGACTGGTAGGGTGGAAGGCCGGGCGATCAACAGTAGGTAGCGCCAGAGCCAATGGCAGGCAAAGCCACCCCTCCTCCTCCACACACACAAGTCATAAGAAGGCTCTCCTGACCCCACCCCAATCCATCAGACTCCATTCTAAGAATTCAGGCAAGGCCAGGCTACCCATATTTACATTTCTGCTCATCAGGGATGAGCAGATATCTTGTTGAAGTGCTACAGATCCACAAGAGCCTCATTCCTGGTAAGTCATTGCCAGTTCGGACTCCACATCTGTACAGTGGTACCTCGGGTTACAGACGCTTCAGGTTACAGATGCTTCAGGTTACAGACTCTGCTAACCCAGAAATAGTACCTCGGGTTAAGAACTTTGCTTCAGGATGGGAACAGAAATCGCGCGGCCGCAGCGGGAGGCCCCATTAGCTAAAGTGGTGCTTCAGGTTAAGAACGGTTTCAGGTTAAGAACGGACCTCCAGAACGAATTAAGTTATTAACCCGAGGTAGCAACATCTTCCTCCATAATCCAAATTGCAAACATGCACTGGATTATGGAGAAAGCTAGAGAGTTCCAGAAAGACATCTACTTCTGCTTCATTGACTATGCAAAAGCCTTTGACTGTGTTGACCACAGCAAACTATGGCAAGTTCTTAAAGAAATGGGAGTGCCTGATCACCTCATCTGTCTCCTGAGAAATCTCTATGTGGGACAAGAAGCTACAGTTAGAACTGGATATGGAACAACTGATTGGTTCAAAATTGGGAAAGGAGTACGACAAGGCTGTATATTGTCCCCCTGCTTATTTAACTTATATGCAGAATTCATCATGCGAAAGGCTGGGCTGGATGAATCCCAAGCCGGAATTAAGATCGCCGGAAGAAATATCAACAACCTCAGATATGCAGATGACACAACCTTGATGGCAGAAAGTGAGGAGGAATTAAAGAACCTTTTAATGAGGGTGAAAGAGGAGAGTGCAAAATATGTTCTGAAGCTCAACATCAAAAAAACTAAGATCATGGCCACTGGTGCCATCATCATCTGGCAAATAGAAGGGGAAGAAATGGAGGCAGTGAGAGATTTTATTTTCTTGGGCTCCATGATCACTGCAGATGGTGACAGCAGTCACGAAATTAAAAGACGCCTGCTCCTTGGGAGAAAGGCGATGGCAAATCTAGACAACATCTTAAAAAGTAGAGACATCACCTTACCAACAAAGGTCCGTATAGTTAAAGCCATGGTTTTCCCAGTAGTGATGTATGGAAGTGAGAGCTGGACCATAAAGAAGGCTGATCGCCGAAGAATTGATGCTTTTGAATTATGGTGCTGGAGGAGACTCTTGAGAGTCCCATGGACTGCAAGAAGATCAAACGCATCCATTCTTAAGGAAATCAGACCTGAGTGCTCACTGGAAGGACAGATCGTGAAGTTGAGGCTCCAATACTTTGGCCACCTCATGAGAAGAGAAGACTCCCTGGAAAAGACCCTGATGTTGGGAAAGATGGAGGGCACAAGGAGAAGGGGACGACAGAGGATGAGATGGCTGGATAGTGTTCTCGAAGCTACAAACATGAGCCTGACCAAACTGCGGGAGGCGGTGGAAGACAGGAGTGCCTGGCGTGCTCTGGTCCATGGGGTCACGAAGAGTCGGACACGACTAAACGACTAAACAACAACAAGCACTGTATATGTGAAATTAAGATTTGTTGTTTAGATTTATTACATTTGTATTACAGTGGTGCCTCGCAAGACGAAATTAATTCGTTCCGCGAGTTTTGTCGTCTTGCGATTTTTTTCGTCTTGCGAAGCACGGTGTCGGGAAAGCTTTGGAAAAGCTTCAAAAATCACCAAAGTCTTTAAAAACCTCAAAAAAGGCCACCACACCATGAGTTGCTCCTCGAAGTCAAGTCGCAACTGTATTAACGGTGTTAAGAAAAAGGAAACAAACTTGCAAGACGTTTCCGTCTTGCGAAGCAAGCCCATAGGGAAAATCGTCTTGCGAAGCAGCTCAAAAAACCAAAAACCCTTTCGTCTAGCGGGTTTTTTGTCTTGCGAGGCATTCGTCTTGCGAGGTACCACTGTACGTCGGGTTTTTATTTATTTATATTTATAGTTTTTATTTTCCTCAGATTTGTCTCACATCTTAATCCATTTTCCTGGGGACTGCACTCATAATCCATCTTCATGGTCCTTCTTTTCTTGTTCATTAATTTGAATGTCTTCTCCTTGTGGAATCATAGAATTGTAGAGTTGGAAGGGACCGCAAGGCCCAACCCCTTGTGATGCAGGAATCCCAGCTAGAGCATCCATGACAGATGGCCATCCCACCACAGTCCAACTCAAACTTACTAGAACATGGTACAAAATCTCTGTGGTGCTTCCTTTCTAAGTGACCAAGTGGGGTCTTCAGGTTTGAGGATCAAATGCAGCCTTCAGAATGCTCCCCAGGCTACATTCCTCATTGCCTCTACTTCTCACCCTGAATGTGTTTTACCTGGCTAGAATTTGTCCTTGAACTCTGCTAGCGTCTCTTGGTTGCCCGGATGAAGGATAGAGAAGGGTGAGCAAGTGGGTGTAAACATCAAAGAACACTCATAGATATTGATTACAAATACGATTTGCAGCAACATGGATTAAGATATGAAGTAATGCTAGGAGAAACTGAATTAAGCAATGAAGCAACAGGAGGGAGAAATAAATCTTTTGCACAATGGCCCGGTTCACATGTCATGCTAAGTCAATCCATGATTTAGCACAAACATGCAACCTCCTGGAGGAGCGAGTACGGTACATCCACTTCCCTCCTTGCTGGTCATTTTGATGCTGTGCTGTGATAAACTAAACCATGGTTTGTCATGGGTTCATGGTTTGGCTCTAGACTTACCATGACATGTAACCAATCTTCGTCCTGCAGTTTATGGCTTGCAGCTTGCTCACAAGAAGCTAAACCACGAGACCGGGTTCAGATGACACACTAAGCCAAACTGGGCTCAGTCCCTTCGATTCCTCATGTTTGCTTGTTCGTGCTTAGTGATGGTTTGTGTCATCTCCAGACTAAGCCAAAGAGAACCATGAGGTGGAGTAACGGAGGCCACAACAAGTACCGGTAGCAGAATTCCTTCTGGAAGCAGGGATATTTCATGGCAACAGGGCAGGTGCTTACCACAGAAGACCAAAGAATAGCAGGTTGCAAAATAAAAGCAGAACCAAAACATGTAAAACAACAAAATAATGAGACTAGAGGACCTTGAGAAATATCTTCAACCACGTTTTAGGGCTTTCATGATTTTTATTTTGCAATTTCCAATCCAGTACCAGCTCAAAGCTTACCTCTGTTTGTGATTTTCAGCGCTTGCTGGCACTACAGTTCCCATCAGGCCCTGCCAGCATGATGAGAGTTGTAGTCCAATAGCAACTGGAGAGGCCACAGGTTTCCCCATCTCTGGCTTTAGAAGGAAGGGGAAATTCAAAAGGTTTGGAAAACCCAAATTGTGGTCGGGTGTTTTCTGAACATCAGCACAGATCGTCATGAGATGCTTCCTGAATTTATTCCACAGGGCAACAGCCTTCGCCAACCTGGTGCCCTCCAGATGTTTCTCCATGTGGCCTTTGGCTGATGGGAACTGTAGTCCAAAACATCTGGAGGGCAGCAAGGTGACAAAGTCTGCAGTAAAGACGGTTGCATCTCTATGGTTGCTTCAGCAGCTGAGACAGGGCTCTTTCCTCCCACTTTTCCTTCTCCTATTGGCTTTCTTTCTCTTCCTGGGGTGATGGCCAGTTCTCCAGCGACCCTTGGCCACCTGCTTCATCCACCTCTTCACATGTCTGTTCTCTGGGCTCACACACAGCTTTTTGTGCTTTGCGTGAATGCTATTGGGATAAGAAAATAAAGACCAGTTTTATTGTTGTTGTTGTTGTTAGAAAAAGTAACCTTAAAAGCTTATACTTTGAAGCAACCAGTATGTATGAACAGAAGACTTAATCCAGCCAAATTTAAGCATTTTTTTAGCCCATCCCTACCATACTGGAGAGGGACACAGGGGCCTCAGATAGAGGCTTCTGAGTGTTGTGATAGGGTGTTCTTCAATCTTAGGCTTAATATGGTTTCTTGAGAAGTAACAGAGCCTAGGGCTTGCCGATCAGAAGGTCGGCGGTTTCATAGAATCATAGAATCATAGAGTTGGAAGAGACCACAAGGGCCATCGAGTCCAACCCCCTGCCAAGCAGGAAACACCATCAGAGCACTCCTGACATATGGTTGTCAAGCCTCTGCTTAAAGACCTCCAAAGAAGGAGACTCCACCACACTCCTTGGCAGCAAATTCCACTGTCGAACAGCTCTTACTGTCAGGAAGTTCTTCCTAATGTTTAGGTGGAATCTTCTTTCTTGTAGTTTGGATCCATTGCTCCGTGTCCGCTTCTCTGGAGCAGCAGAAAACAACCTTTCTCCCTCCTCTATGTGACATCCTTTTATATATTTGAACATGGCTATCATATCACCCCTTAACCTCCTCTTCTCCAGGCTAAACATGCCCAGCTCCCTTAGCCGTTCCTCATAAGGCATCGTTTCCAGGCCTTTGACCATTTTGGTTGCCCTCCTCTGGACATGTTCCAGTTTGTCAGTGTCCTTCTTGAACTGTGGTGCCCAGAACTGGACACAGTACTCCAGGTGAGGTCTGACCAGAGCAGAATACAGTGGCACTATTACTTCCCTTGATCTAGATGCTATACTCCTATTGATGCAGCCCGCAACGGGGTGAGCGCCCGTTGCTCGGTCCCTGCTCCTGCCAACCTAGCAGTTCGAAAGCATGTCAAAGTACAAGTAGATAAATAGGTACCGCTCCGGCAGGAAGGTAAACAGCGTTTCTGTGTACTGCTCTGGTTTCGCCAGAAGTGGCTTAGTCATGCTGGCCACATGACCCGGAAGCTGTACGCCGGCTCCCTTGGCCAGTAAAGCGAGATGAGCGCCGCAACCCCAGACTTATCCGTGACTGGACCTAATGGTCAGGGGTCCCTTTACCTTTAACTCCCTGGAAATAAATGAGTTTCCTTTCCTACTCAGAAAAAAAAGTGATATTGCTTCCCCCCTCCAATTTTCCATGTCTAATGAAAGCTTATGGCATGATTATTATTATTATTGGTTTCTAAGAGGCTGCAAGACTCTTCGTTGCTTCTGCCGCAATAGATTTAACACAGCTAACACCCAGGAAATCCTATCCATGTTTACTCAGAATTCAATCATGCAATGTCCAGTGGAGCTTGCTCACAGGAAAGTATGCTTATGATTACAGCCACACACTGCCTACAACATCAAAATAAAAAGCTTCTAAATGGAAGGATTTGCAATGTGCAAATGGATTTCAATTAATCTGATTTAAAACACGTGATTAATCAAGCAAATACGATATCATCAGTTGTGTGTGCTAGCGTACACACATCACATTGCTGGATCGCAGCCTCATAGCACAATCATGATGGTGTTTACTCAAAAGTGACTCCCACTGAGTTCAGAAGAGCTTATGCCAAGTTTCTTGGAACAGGAATTCAGCCTTGAACTCCAGCTCCTTGGTAGCTTAACCTTCCTCTTTGAATTCCAATTAAAATAAAACTGTCTTTATCATCTACAGATCATTCTCACCATTCCAAAGTTGCACACAGACAACACACACACACATTTTTTTCTTTCCCACCGCTTACATCACAGCGGATATTTTGCATAAATCGCCACCATTCTGAATGTCAAACGTTGCCACTGTTCTTAGCCATCTTCTGGGAATATGATGGGCTACTTCTGTGCAGCAGTCAAAAAGTACAGGAAATACAGCTGAAAGAAACAGAAAGAAAATAGCTTTTAGGCAGCAGTCCTAGTGTGTATCCACTTAGATAGGAGTAAATAAACCTCATGGGATTTAATGAGACTTACTTCTGAACTGGCACGTAGCACTGTACTTAAACTTCCAGGATGCCTAGAACTATATAGATTTGCAGTTGATTTGGAAACTAGACCACTGCACGAAGCAGGGGTAGTCAACATAGTGCTCTCTAGATTTTATGGACTGCAGCTCCCATCATCCCCAGCCAGCATGCCCAAAGGTCAGGGATGATGGGAGTTGTAGTTCAGCAACATCTGGAGGTCATTGCATTGGCTATCCCTGAGCTAGAAGGTTTGAATCAGTATAAGGAAGCTGCTTATGCCCTACCATATGATGAGGGGGAATCTGACACACTTTTGCACCTAATCAGAATTCTGTAGGAACAGAGAAAAAGTAAGAATCTTTCCACTTTCGCAACATGTTGTGCATGCCTTAGCTCAGGGGTCAGCAACCTTTTTCAGCTGTGGGTCCACCATCCCTCAGACCATTTTTTAGGGGGGAAATGAACAAATTCCTATGCCCCACAAATAACCCAGAAACGCATTTTAAATAAAAGCACACATTCTATTCATGTAAAAACACGCTGATTCCTGGACCGCCCGCAGGCTGGATTGAGAAGGCGATTGGGCAGCATCCGGCCCACGGGCCGTAGGTTGCCTACCCTTGCCTTAGCTCCTCCACCCAGTGTCCTAACACTAAAATGAAATTGCCCCTCACTGTCTCATTGTCATCTCCCCATTCGCTGCTTAAAAGAAAGAAAGTTCCCAGAGTTATTACAGTCTGAAGTCCTTATTAAACAACTTTCTCTCCCTTGCTGTTATGTATGCTAGAATACAGCATTGAGGGCTAACTTCGGTTGCTGATGCCTAAGAGTTTTCACTGACTCTAAGTTTCTGATCGGGTTATAAAATAACATGCAGGACAATCCCTAGGTGTGATGTATTGCAGGGGACTGGATTAAATGACCCTTCACGGTACTTTTCCACTCTGTAAGTTTGTGATTTGATGAAATGAACAAGGCTGGGCTAAACCATTTTGCTGATCCCATCAAGATGGCTGTATTGCAGCACTGAGAGATCACCCAGAATCTCTTGCAACAGCAAAGACGGTGCCAGAGTTCAGTTCTTGGGTTAGCACACCCCAGCGCAAACAGTTGTGCCCTAACACCCTCTGCTACCTTGTAGGGGTTCCCAGGGTGCACCTCTCACTTTGATGACCACTAGGCTTGCTTGTGCTGTTGCGCTGGCTTTGCATAGGAGGTAGAAGCCGCACTCCATTCCTCCTATTTCCAGTGTTCAGAAGTGAGTGCCATTTCCTTTTTATCAATAAATAAAAATTCAAGCGGTTTTTTTGTGTGGAACAGGGGACTGACTCACTTGTCAGCCTCACTTGTCCTTTACTACCAAAGCCCTCCAGCTGGGCCACTGTTTCAAGGTGAGGGACTGGTTTAAGGCAGGAGACATTTAAAAAGAAGGGTCGAGGGGTAGGCTTAAATGGTAAGGGTGAAACATGTCCTTCTTTGAGCTTTTGGCACCTGTATCGGTTATAGCCTCTAGGAAAGAAAAGAAGAGAAACAGGAACTAAAAGTCATTTTATCTGTGACCGTTGACCTCTGCACTGAGAAGCAATCTCTTCATAAGGAGCGTTTCTTTCCCTTCAGATCTTGCCTCTTCATATCGCTGACCTACTTTTGGCCTACCTACCTGAAAGTGCAGGTATTGTGGAAAACAACACATTATATTTTCAGGAAAGGGCCAAAGCTCAGAGGGAGAGCACCTGTTTTCCATGCAGAAGGTCCCAAATTCAAACCCCAGCATCTCCAGGTAGCCCCATGTGGGAACTTTCATTGTCCCAACTATGGATCAGAGCCCCAGAAAGCTCCTGGTGAATTCTTCATGCAGATGCATTTAGAACCCTTATCATCTTCAGGGCTCTTCTTCTGTTATTGACGCAGCCTCACTTCCCTGTCCATCTCTCTGTCATCAGGTGCATAAGGAGCTGCTCCTGTCAGTTAAGCCTCTCCCTCCTTGACTTGCCACTGGGGTGGCTAGCCCCAGTATTGCTGCCTTTTCCTTCCTCCCACGCTGCGCTCTAAATGGCTGTGCCAAGGCTTGCATATCACCCAACCCTTTCCTCTTTTTCTGCTTGAAAGATACTCAGAGTCCTGTAGTGATTTCATGCTCTTTATTGCAGCTTGTAAAACAGTGATTGAATTGCCCCCAAACCTCAGGCTTTTATATACATTATTTACACAATGAGTCCCATCTGATTGGCTGATTCTGCTTTCCTCCTGGAGCCTGATTGGTCTTTTCCTGCAGGCCAATCAGTTGTTGCATTCTACAATCCTACCAAGCTAATAGGCTGATTAACTTCTTCCTGGAGCCTGATTGGTCTTCTCCTGCAAGCCAATCAGTTGTTGCATTCTAGGATCCTCCTTGCCTATTGTTCTAGGATCCAAGGTTAGTACATGAGACTGCTGCTCCTCCATCTTTGCTTTGAACCCCCTCTAAATGTGCCACCCACCATGCCTTTGTCATCCAAGTGGTCAAGTGTCTCTCCTTCTCTGGCAGGACCACCCTGCCCAGCTTCTTCTGGTAGAAGGCTGCTTCCTACATTGTCCTCATCTCCCCACCACTGCTATGGGGCACTCAGTAAAACCATACCAAGGACACATTTGGGTTTCTGAGAGAGTGAAATCAGAACAACATGTAACGGCTAAGAAGAGGCTGCGCCGCAAATCAAGACGTTCCTGGTTCCGCCTTGAATTCACCAGGTGGCGTTACGCAAACCGCTCTGTCACTGCCTCATCATCCTCCCCATGCAATATGAGGATAATGACACTGACCTACTTTGCAGGATTGTTGGACACACTTTGAATATGCTAAATAATAGCCACTTCCAGCATTGTTCAAGCCACAGCATGTCAAGATGCACACATCTCTGCAGAGTATTGCTCTATGAACACATATCTGTGTTTCGGAAAGAAATGTTTCATCCTTCCTGCACCCATGTCTATGAAAACAAGGAAGTGAACACTTCCCACAAAGGATTAGTTGATCTTTACAAACCCTGCAGCAGAGCCTTACAGCTAATCAACGTGGTGGACTGTTGAAAGAGCTCCCTTTGGAAATCGACTGAAGGCCAACTGCAGAGGCAGCTCAGGCCTTTCTCGGAATTAGTTATTTATATATTACATTTTTATATACCTCCTTTTCCCTCCAAGGATCTCAAGGTGGTGTGCGTTGTTCTCCCCTGCCCATTTTATGCTCACAACAACCCTGTGAGGTAAGTTAGGCTGAGAGATAATGCCTGGCCCAAGGTCACCCAGTGAGCATAATGGTTGAGTGTGGATTTGAGCATCATGGTTGAGGGGCTGGGGTATATGTTGCATTGAAACTTGCATTCAGTTTAAAACATACATAGAATTGGGTTGTTCATAATAGTTTTCTGTGTTCCTTTATTCTGAATGGGGATGAAATGTGAATCCACCTTGACAATCCATTCAGTGGATTAGATCTGAATTTCCTTGTTAAGCTTTGTTAGAACTCTTCCTATTAATGATGAATTTCAAGCAGAACCTATGCATGCTTATTCAGAAAATAAGCCACACTGTGTTCAAGGAGGCTTGCTCCCAAGTTTGAGCATTCAGGACTGCAAACCTCAGGGAAGTATGTTTATGCACCCAGGAGGTCTTGCATACTTCACTGAGCTTCCTTGTGGGGAAGAAAAAAAAAGATTTCCTGGAAGAGAAACCACAAGATTTGCATACTAAGTGCTCTATATCCTTATCCTACTATTATAGCAGCTCGCTTGAAGGCAATGCTCTACAGTGCTCAAAGACTTTACCCTCTGTGTTCTTTAAACTCTGTGTATTGTTGATCAGCAATCCTGTTCATATTTACATCCAGAAATGTGTGCAGCTCTGCTGGTGCATTTCAAGGGCTGCCATCCTCAGCCACCTTCTTGAAGGCGCCCTCAAAATCTGCTCCAGAGAGTTGGAGGAAAATGCAAGAGGAGAGGAAGCCCCATTGTGCCTTTGACCGTGGATAGCCATCATGGCTAGTAGCCGTGTTCTGCTATGCATCCCCAGTGCTACCCCTTCCGGATGGACTACAGCGCAACAAAAGCAAGACAAAAAAAGCCCCAAAATATGTGCAGTATGAAAAGTTAGGGGGTTTCAGCAGGAAGCTATGCGCTGATTGGATATACAGTGGTACCTCGGGTTAAGTACTTAATTCGTTCTGGAGGTCCAGTCTTAACCTGAAACTGTTCTTAACCTGAAGCACCACTTTAGCTAATGGGGCCTCCCGCTGCCGCCGCACGATTTCTGTTCTCATCCTGAAGCAAAGTTCTTAACCCGAGGTACTATTTCTGGGTTAGCGGAGTCTGTAACCTGAAGCGTATGTAACCTGAAGCGTATGTAACCTGAAGTGTATGTAACCCGAGGTACCACTGTAGAACAATATGACCACCCCAAAACTTTTAAAAGGTAGAGATAAAGTACCCCTGGCAGTCCAGTCCAGTCGCAAACAACTCTGGGGTTGCGGTGCTCATCTCGCTTTACTGGCTGAGGGAGCTGACATTTGTCTGCAGTTAGTTTTTCTGCATCATGTGGACAGCATGACTAAGCTGCTTCTGGCAAAACCAGAGCAGTGCACGGAAACGCCATTTACTTTCCCGCCGGAGCAGTACCTATTTATCTACTTGCACTGGTGTGCTTTCGAACTGCTAGGTTGGCAGGCGCTGGGACCGAACAACGGGAGCTCACCCCATCACGGGGATTTGAACCGCCGACCTTCTGATCGGCAAGCCCAAGGCTCAGTGGTTTACACCACAGCGCCACCCGCGACCCTGCAACCCCAACACTTACACAGGAACAAATAGCATTGAAAGTGGGGTCCCAAATGACCACCTACATTGTACCTTGAGCACAAAACATAATGAATAAAGGCAATAAAAGGGAGTCTGGGGGGGGGGTCTAATGTTTACGAATGAGCTAAGACCTAAAAGCTGTTCCTGTAAGCCGTCTTGACCCGTATGGCCGCACATATTGAAAGCTTCAATATGGCCTGGCTACTAAAGGGGTACATAAGGAATACTAATGGACTGGCGTTTGCAGAAGGAAACACTGTAATCCAAGCATTTGGGATGTACCCTAAGCCATGCCTACTTTTGACGATGAGAAGTAAAACTAGTTTTGTTTGACACAGCAGCACTGCCAGATTTAGATCTGTGCTTAAAGTATCAAAAAACAAAATACATAATTCAGGCAATGCTGCTTCCATCCCACCCCTGCAAACACACTCTGCTTACAAGATCCAAGGTTTAAAATAACTTGGTGGTGGTGGTGATGATGATGATGATGGAAACAAAGAACAGGTGGAAGGAAGAGCCTGAAGATCCCGGTTCGGTGGGCTGAGCTGGGAAAACTGCTCCAGAGGAGAAAGGTCAACCCACCCACCCCTTTGATGGAGATGGACAAACCTGTCAATTTCATTTTCTCTCTGATTCTCATTTTCCCCAGGTCACGTTCAGTCTTCCACCATCACTTTGAGGTGGGTTGTGATTTTTTTTGGTAAATCATGAAGATCCATTAGCATTTTAGTGCAAATTTCTCATCATATGGACGCTTTAAATGCAGCCTTGCCACATATACACATTTTTTGCAAAGCGATCCCCTCCCTGCAAATTTTGTATGTTGTTTTTTGCTGATATATGCATTTTTATGCACACTTTCCCCAAGTAGATGCATTCTTGTACAGTTTTCTTGACGGGAGAACTGCATTGTGAATTCAGAGAAGCACAGATTTTGCAGGATAGCTGTGCCTCGGTTAGTGTAGTGTTTCTGAAAGTGTGAATTAGGAAGGTTGTCCTTTAAATGGAAACTCCTCCATCCTTGCCTTCTGCACCTCCTCTGAGACAACTCGGAAACATAGGAAGCAGCCTTATATTAAGTCAGACCAACGGTCCCTCTAGATCAGTATTCTCTACACTGAACTGATAGGCAGCTGCTCTCCAGGGTTTCAGGTAGAACTCTCTTCCTCTCTCCCTGCCCTATCTGGGTTGTGCCTGGGATTGAACCTTCTGCATGCAAAGCAGATGTCCTCTCCCATTTTGCAGCTGTTGATGGTTGCTTTCTTTTTCCCTAAAGTTGCGCACTGTGACCCCAGGCTCTCCTTCACAAGGCCAGCTCACCCAAGGTTTGCATGCCAAAGGATAATCGGAAAAGGCATATTTACCGGATTTTTTAAAAAATGATACAGATCACTTACAGAAATGACCTTTGCCCAGATCATATTTCCTTGTTGAAACTGTCCATTTTCCGCTTTGCCCTCCACCTCTAAAATGCAGAGGTTTTCTCAGTGTGGCTGTCTCGCAGCCTGTTTGTGCAAAAGGATCTCTCCACCAAAGCAAAGCAAAACCAAGATTCCTTGGTTCTCACACTGTGCAACAAGAGCAGAGAAGGCTGCTCTGAATTAGCTCCCTTCCTCACGTGCAAGAAGTACGCATTAAGGTTAGACATGACTTACCCTCTGATATAGGGTGAACTATCACAATTCCAAATGTGGCAAGGACGATGGGCAGGTTCATGCTTCCAGATTCATGCTTCCTCTGTGCTGGAGGCTTGAGCACAGACTGAAAGCGATAGGGATCTGGCTGCCAAGGCTATTGCCACCTCTTGGCTGTAGAGGGACAAAAGAAGTTCAGAGCCCCACCCCTAGCAAAGTGCAAACACAAGACCCATTAAGGATTTGTGGACTCTCAGTACTCACCTCTCCTGTAGGATAAGAATCTCTCTCTTACTTTAGAACAGGAGTACAGACCTTTGCTTTATACTCGGAGCCCCTCCTGAGTGGCCTTTTCTTACCCTGTGTATTCTGCAACATTGACAAAATGATAATACATTGGTGATGGATTTATACTGGGCCGTCCACACAACATTCTGCTTTATTAGTTGTTCCCCAATATTCTCATGTTTACTGTCTGGAGAAGCACTCTTGCACTCTAGAGCAACAGAAGCAGGAATAATAATAATATAAACTGGAACATTTGTGGTATAAAAAGTTACAGGTTTTCTGCAGGAGATTGAGGCATATGCAGATTGAATATGAAGCAGTATATCTGCCATGAAACTTTTGCAGGTTCGAAGAGTATTGAAAGACACATTTCGAATAACTGCCATCGTGAGCACAATTCATAAAAAATACCATACCTGGAAGGGCCCTGTGCTTTTGTTGTAAAAGCAAGGGCAGCTGGTCTCAAACCCACCCAAGAATTACAAGTCTACATCTTCAAATCCTGGAGATATAACAACAACAACAACAACAACAACAACAACAACAACAACAACAACAACAAATTTATTATTTATACCCTGCCCATCTGGCTGGGTTTCCCCAGCCACTCTGGGCGGCTTCCAACTGAATATTAAAATACTATAGTCTATTAAACATTAAAAGCTTCCCTAAAAAGGGCTGCCTTCAGATGTCTTCTAAAAGTCTGGTTGTTATTTTTCTCTTTGACATCTGGTGGGAGGGCGTTCCACAGGGCAGGTGCCACTACCGAGAAGGCCCTCTGCCTGGTTCCCTGTAACTTGGCTTCTCGCAGTGAGGGAAGCGCCAGATAGATGGCTTTGATCACTTGATGGCAATAAGCAACCTGCCGCCCAATGTTGTGGACAACAAACACAGTCACTGTGAAAGCCGAGCATAAGGGATTCTGGCTTGGGGAGGGTCTCTTAAACTCAGTTAAGCACTAGTAACCTATTTTCAGGTCTTTGTGGCTGAGTGCCACATTCTGATGTTAGGGAAATGGCAGGGGAGCCCAGCTGAAGTTCCTCTGCCTCAGCCAGGGACCGTCTTTGGCGTAATATGGAGCCCTGTGTGAGGCCAAAGTTTGGTGCCCCCAAATGGATCTTCTCAGTTCTGAATCTTCTCTGTTTTGTGGCTCTTCAGCTTGGCATCCAATGGCAAGGGCTAATGGGAGTTGTAGTTCACCAACCTCTGGAGGATCAAAGGTTTTCCGCATCTGCTGCAATCTTGCTAAAACACAACCCAATTCAAGTCTGGTTTATCCCTTGTATTTAATATAGTTATACCCTTGGACTAGATAGGCCTTTGGCCTGATCCAGGAGAGCTCTTGTGGTTTTCCCCGTCGTTCCATCCAAGAGCACCCACAAAACAGCCTAACAATGTTATAAAGACAACCACAGTCACAAGCCTTGTTTTTTTACATATAATACATCTCATGCCTGGTCTACTCTTGTCCACGTATCTCCAAAACTCTAAAAGCAAACTGAAGGACATTGAAGTCAGTGCGTGTTTCTAAAGAGGAGGAAGGATCAAAGAACAATCCCTCTTTAACTTGAGCTTCAATGAAGTTTTTTAACATATTGGTAGACACTTATGTGTGCTAGCCAGCAAACTATTACAAAGGACGTTTGTTTCCTAGCACCAGATCTGCTAAAGTCTGGAGTCCTTCTTGAGCTGAGTTTGCAAACTACATTAGGTGTAGGATTTTGTACCAAATTCAGATTTTCTAGTTTTGCCTGTTCACACGATAGACTACGACTGTGGCTTCTTATGCAAGCAAGTGCTACAGACAGAGCTGATTGTACATTGTGATGTACAATGAAATGGGATTAAACTTCCAGAGAATCCCAGCTTTCATTTAAATAAAAAACAAGCCACCTCAAATTTCTAGCTTCATGGCTATGAAGTGAAGCTTATGAATGTGTGTGAAGAAGGCCTGCTGAAATCTCAGACGCTAGAGAGGGGGCAGAACAAAATATCCAGTGGTTGAAACAAAGATTGTCCTTGTTGTTTGCAAAAAAGCCAGAAGGGACTGTGCAAACTAGCAAAAAATAAAAATGCTGAATAAGTGCCTCAGTATAATAGGAATCATGCACATTTGTGAACATGTAAGATTTGGATGCTGCAGAATTCAGCTGATTTTGACACAGCATTTGGAATTGGATGAGCAATTTATTTTAGCACACAAGAGTATACACACCAAAGGCTTCTTGAGTTTATTTATTGCCTTGCACAAAGTTTATGTGGAGGTTAGACTCTGTCCAGTCTCTGCTGAGCCTTTGTTCTTATTTCCTTGTGAATATAAGAAGTGTCCCGTGGACCAGAACTGAGGTCAGCCTAGAGCGGCATCCATCCAATTTTGCCCCACAGCCAATGACATCTGAAATATACTCGGAGTTGAGTGTGAATTTCATGCTCTTTATTCAGCTCGTAGTAGCAATGAATGAAATTTTCCCCAAAACGTCTAGCTATATATACATTGTTTACACAATGGGCCCCGTGTGATTGGCTAATTCCGGGCTGCTCCTGTAGGCCAATCAGGTTGCTGATTCACTTCCACCTGGAGATGGATTGGGTGGCTCCTGTGGACCAATCAGACTGCTGCATTCTGGATCCTATTGTTCTAGGATTCAGCTCAGTACATAACAGCATCCCTTTGCACGTCCGCAAGCAGGTAATGATTAGCTTCTTCCTTGTTAACATTCAGTGGCGTACTGCCTCTGAACTCAGGTTGCCTCTAGACTTTCACCATTTTGTGGGAGGGATTCAAATGCGCACTGGAAATGTAGGTTTGCACAATCAGAGTGGATTAAAGTGCCGTGCCGCCATTGTGCAACATACCCACTCTTTTAATAGGCTTTTTTTGGCAGTTGGGAAAGTGAAGGGGAGACACACTAAAAAGTGTGGGGTGAACAAATTGGAAGTTATATAAACAACAACAAATCAAGATGAATGCTCAAGGAACATTGTCAGGAGCACCCATCAGAGTTTAGCTGTCGTGATTAACAACCACTGGTAAACCTGTGCTCCGTGAATCTACTTATGCTTCTTTTAAAGCCATTAAAGCCAGTGGCCATCAAAAAGACTTGAGCAGTGAATTCTACGAGTCACATATAATGGCACAATCACACATCCCAACTAGTGGTACTTCTATGACCCATCCTGGGGCCAGCCCACCCATGAGGCAATGAGTGGCAACTGCCTCAGGCGGCAGGATGCACAGGGGCAGAAGATCCCAATGTAGCTCTTTAGTCCACCCTTCTTTGTGATGTAGATCTCTGCTCACACCTTCTTCCCTGATGGCGAGGGGGGGGGATGCTATTTTGTGGTTCGCCTCAGGTGCGAAAATGTATTGGGCCATCCCTGGCCCATCCCATTATCACCCCTGCCCCATTCCTATCTAGAAGTAGTTATAATAATCTTGGGTGCCAACCAACATCTTGGAATAGCTTTCTTCTTCTTCTGTTTTTCTGCTCTGGAGGCCCAAGTCAATGTCAAAATGCTTGTTTGCTCCCAAGTGCACAACCTTAACGTGTTGCGCTGTTGCATTGTGGGTACCCACTTCTAACAACTGTCTAGAATGGTTGGCTGTGGAAGATCTTTTTCCAGTTCTTGCTGGAATGCAGACAGTTATCAGATGATTAAAGGTTTGACAAAAGATTTGAGATAAGTGAATTCCTTCGAGATGGCATGCCAGGGGCCTGGACCTAAAGCAATATGGGTTAAGGTTTAGCTCTTTATGGGGGAAACAAAGCTGCTGGGCCTCAAAGAGAAGAGAGAAGAATCTGAAATGGCGGCAGCAGGAGGGGGAAGGAATTATTAATTCATTTATTTAAAAACTGATGTGCCATTTTCCTCCTCAGAAAGAAACGCAAAGCTGGATAAAATAACAAAATACCGTACTTTTCGGACCATAACACGCAGTTTTTTCCCCCTAAAAGACAAAGGGAAATGTGAGTGCGTGTTACGGAGCGAATGCAGGCGGGAGGAGCGCAGCGTGTCTGCCTGCTTGCCTGCTCTATGGCTTTCCAGCAGCCTGTCCTCCCCGCCTCCTTCGCTGGGAAGCCGGCAAGGCAGCCTGCCCTCCCCTGTCGCTGGGAAGCCGGCAACAGCTGAGCGCAGAGTGTCTGCCTGCTTGCCTGCTCTATGGCTTTCCAGCAGCCTGTCTTCCCCTCCCCCGTTGCTGAGAAGCCGGCAAGGCAGCCTGTCCTCCCCTCCTCCGTCGGTGGGAAGCCGGCAACAGTTGAGCGCAGAGTGTCTGCCTGCTTGCCGGCTTGCCTGCTCTATGGCTTTTCGGGGAGGTGGGAGAAGAGAGGCAGCTCGGAAGCCGGCAACAGCTGAGCGTGTGTAAAAGCCAGGGTCGGAGAAGGAAGACAGCCTCTCTTTCTCAGTGTCCGCCTGCTCTATGGCTCTCCCTTACACACATGTAAGCAGCTCTTACTCTGCTTTCTTTACAATGAGCTGGAAGGAGGGACAAAGAGGGCATCCCCTTCTGTCCCTCCCCCAGCACCTCACCGGTAAATTCAAACAAAGCGGCTTACAAGGCTTGTGTCCCTGCGTCTCCTCCTCTTTCTGCTCTCATTCGAGGCAAGGCAGCTGCACAAATGTGAGCTCCCCCTCTCTCTTCCTTCCCTCCCTCCCTCCCTCTTCCAACTTCAAACAATATTGGGGGGCAGCCAGGTAAGCCCCACCTCACATACCACAATGGGGAGTGGGGGATGACTCCCTCAAATATTTAATGGGGGGGGGAGGCACCTAGGCCCATAGGAATTGGCTGCTTTGCCTAGGACAAATGTGAGCTCTCCCTCCCTCTTCCAACTTCAATAAAATATGGGGGGGGGCAGGTACAGGTAAGCCCCATCTCAC